GGGAGAAGACTGTGCCGTTGAGCCTGTGATAGCTCTGGTGTCCGTATGTGGCAAAACTGGCGTACTTGTGCTGGCACTTGTGCTGGCACTTGCTGTGTTCGGAGGATTAGCGAAGGAGAAGGAGAGGGAAGAAGAAGAGGAACAAAAGGAAGAAAAGGCACCAAGGGAAGAAGAGGAAAAAAACGAAAGAGGAAAAGAGGAATTGCACCTATGTTGTAAAATTTGTAGACCCTCGCCTGGCAGGTGGGAGAAAAAAATGGTGATGCGCAGTTTCGGGATTGCATTTGCCACCCCTGCAAATGTTTTATATGTCTTATTTTGTTCAATCTGCCCCAAACCAACTTCCGCCCTCGCTTTGGGGAGGCACTAAACTATAGTTTAATACCTTGTCAACCCTCAGGTCTCCAGTTTTTTGTATTTGTGATTCAGTGCATACGTCCACCTTCACATGGTATCAAGAAGTGACCATGAACAATGGGTAAAACACAGCAAAACATGACCCTTGTGAGGAACCACACAAAAGGCAGGCAGAGTGTCACCGTTTGTGGCAGGGAGGGGTCGCGCACACACATTCTCAGTCTTAGGCATCTGGCCGAATCCGTCGTCTTTGATCTGGATTGAAAAATGATGCTGCCTTCCCACTTTCTGTCGTTTGTTATTTAGCCGACAACACCAAAGCGACAAACAACAATACATGCAAATCAAATCAAGTTGTTTGTTCTTTTGGAGGCTTCCGCCACGAAGTTTGTCTGGGATAGTTGTGTAAAACGTGCAATGGGCAGGCAAACATGGAAGATGATTCTAGTAGTTGTTATAGGAGATAGTTGCGGGCCACATGCTGTGGTGGTAGGATGACATGCAGGTGGTATGCAACATGGACAACCCATGAATATGATGAATATGATGAATGATATACATCGCATATGTTGGGCATGTGGCCGTGGTGCCGTGGTATACATTGCATTTGTGCGATGCTTTGTGTACAGCTACGGCACCTCGGTGTGGGCGAACATGTGTGGAGTGCTGAGCTTGGGCGAGGTTGTGTAGTGACGGCGAAGGTTGTGTCGTTTGCTTGTTCTCCGTCTTTAGATTGAATAAGCGCCCCAAGGGGTCCTCCCGAGTCTGTTGATCGCATGCTATTCATAGGCATGGTCTTCATGCAGAGGCAATTTCGACATTGAATATCACCTTGAAGCCAAAGCACCCCATGGGGCGCTGAAAACTGCGGCCGTGCAGTTTTCGGCGGATTGCACTTGCAGTTCGCTAGTTGCAACTGTGGACACAAAGGAATTTGCATTTCTGAAGCACAATACTACTGCTTAATTAATGGACGTTGCCACAACGCTCCACAGCATGAATATCGACCACGCGCTACCAGTAACACAGTAGCCAACTTTCCAGGATGCTTTTGCCAGGACGCTGGGAAAGATAACTACAAGGTTTATAGTTTTGTATATGTTATTCTAGAGGGTTTGGCAAAAGTTGTGCAAGCACGTTCCCCAACAGGTTCAGAAATGTCGCAACAAGATGGCTCTGGAAGACCGGGAAGAATACAGAATACTTACCCAGTTCTTCCAAAGGACGCAGGAAACTAGGTCTTTCAAGTAAGACCCTGTTTTACTTCTAGAGCCTGTTTTATTCATACCCAGTTTTTGAGGGTCGCTTATCCCAGCCCATGGACCACACAGTCTACAGCAGCTTGCAACCATGTCTATTTGAACTATAGTACTATGGCTTCCAAGGGACAAAAAGAATGGCACGTCCAAGCAAAGAACACACTTACTTGACTCAAAGCATATGTTTTATTCCATGGCCATTTTATGGCATTGTCACGCCATGGTTGGCTTGCTTTTTACCCGTGCTAGCTCCAGCAAAACCTGCACTATTCATACCGCACACATTGGAAAAGTGAAACTGGTAAAACCCACAGCCGGCGAAAAGATAAAATCCTTGTCAAGTCTCTAAAGCAAAATTATCGGTGAGTTCTGGGGATCCTTTAACTTGCTTGCTGCTATAGGAGCTGTTTCCTTTCCTTTCTCGGGAATATTACTAGCAGGGGCCATTTCGGCTCCAATTAGGAACACTTAAAAAGTTAAACCGCTGGCTGAAAAGGAATGAACATGAACCTGAGTCCACGGAGGGTCTGAATCAATTCAAATGCACAACATGCACATCAATCAATTTGATTGCACATTCACAGGTGAAAACATGGAATTCCACTCCAGAATGCCCAAACCAGATTTATCCACATGTGGAAGTTTTTCACAGCCTTTTCACGAGTTTTTCACGGCCTTTTCACGAGATTTTCACGGTCTTTTCACATTTTTGGGTGTTGCGTTGTTCGTGTATTTTTGCGACAGTTTCAGCGGAAACCATAAAGACATGATTTTAAGACCACCAACTACAATTTCAGATCAAGCAAATATCGCACAGGCACGCTTACAGCAGCCATCCTTCAAATCGGTGGCGCACTGACAAGTAGAAGGTAACATTTCCTTTTACTCGTACCTCATCAGAGGTAATGTTAAAGGGGATTAATATGAGAATCACTACACTTCATTTTGTTACACAATCATGATGTTGATGGGAGGTCTGGGCTATTCTTAGATCATTTCAGCCACAATTTGATGATTTGTTTAGTTTGTTGTTTTTTAGTTCGTTTCATTTTGCTAATCCAGCTGAAGTGCGGTTTCAAAAACTTAGATGGGTGAAGTCTGGAAGGGTTTTTGTTCAAGCATGTGATGATGTTCCTAAAATACCACTTGCATATCTCATTATATCTCGAGCCCATGATCTCTATGCAGTATTTTTTCAGCATGCTGCAGAATGCTGTATTCATACGGATGTTCATGATTGTTGATCAGCCTTTAGATGTTTGATCAGGACATGGCCATACTTGATCCCGAGTCGCAGGGCCTAGTTTTACTTTAAAAGTAAAACTAGGTCGAGGACCTAGTTTAACTAGGCCTTTCGAGAAGGCCTAGTTTAACTAGGTTAAAAAAAAAACTTGTCCAAGTTCGGCGTTATACCATTATACCTTTAAATTGCTATTCCAACGGTGGACATGATGTTCAACCAGATTCAACCATCGAATGATCCAATTGTGTTTTCACAACATTGTTTGACAACACGTCGCACCTGGTTTCTTGATGTTTCTTGATGTTTCTTGGCAATGTTATTCTGGCACTGACGGTGAGGCATGAGCCACCCATCCCATATCATCCCATGGGGTCGCGGCATGCCGCGGCTACATGTCCCATGGTGCAGTGATGTCCGGTGTCGCTGGGCCGCACCCGTCCTTTGGCGCATCGTTGCGCTTCGTTGCGCGTCGTTTCGCATCGTCATCCGATCCCCGGGGACCCGAAATGGGCGCAACGCAAGCGCGTTCTGATACTCGCATGTGTTGAAGTGGAACGCCCCAAAAAACGTGATTTGTTGAGGAAAAACTCGTAGATCTCATTTAAGAAACGCCATACAGGACAAAGTCGTGGCTAGGACTCCTAATCGAATCTTCTTTGAACGATCTGTAAAAGCAAAGATGGTTTGGGGATGTTTGGGGTGTATAATGTCCAGCAGGAAAAGAATCCAGAAGAAGCTGAAACAGTGCTGAAGAAGAGTCACTGGAAAGACCGTGCAAAAGACATTTAAGCAATCTTGCCGCAAGCATCTCTTTGAGGGAACGAAAGTCCGTGTAGACGTCCGGTCGGAAGTCGCAAATTTCACGAGAGCGTGTGATCACTGGTGCGCACGAGATCTAAGTCTTGGATATCGATGAATTGGAGGGATTCTGGAGATGGATTCTGGGCATGGAGATGACATGGAGATAACACGGATGGAAATTTCGGTGGAATGTCCTGATGAGATGGGCGATGGGGTATTTTTGGGATGTTTCAACGTGGCTCAACCTTTTTCTTTAGCCGTCGTTTGGTTGCTGGTTTAAGGTCACTGCCCCATTTAGCCGTGCCGAGTTCGCCTGAACGCCTCCGCCGCGCCCTTCACATGATGAACGCCGGACATCATCAAGGTGTACGACGATGTAATTACCAAAATGAACGAAGTACTACCGAGTACTACCACATACTACATGTCATGAATATATGTACCATGTACTGTACTAGATCACCTTCTCCAACTTCACAGCAAAACCATATCCTCTTCACATCTCTTCACATCTCTTAATTCACATCTCTTCACGTCTCTTCACATCTCTTCACGTCTCTTCGCATGTCTTCGCATCTCTTCGCATCTCTTCGCATCTCTTCGCATCTCTTCGCATCTCTTCACATTATCCATCATCCCCCCACCAAACATTTGCCAAACTGTCCAAACCCGCCTTCGACTTTTTTCGGTGTCGCGGTGGATCTGCTTCACCCAGGTGGTGTAGCGCACAGCGTAGCGCGCGCCGCAATGCGCCGCACCCCGAGCAGAGCGGGGGAAAACACCGCTGAAACGCAAAAGACCGCGACTGCCGCGACTGCGATCGGAGGGCGCCACGGAGACCTTCTCTCAGGGTGGGGCTTTTTTGTCATGTTTTGACGTAAAAGGTCGTGTGGATGTTCAGCATGTTTAGCTTTCATGAAAAACTCCGGATCTCCAAAGCACTGAACATCACTGAACACATGTAATTTGAACACATGGATTATTTTGACATATTTTGAGCACATAACTTTTGAGATGAAATACAAATCGAGGCTATGGCTGGCAGCCGTTCTGTAACACGGCTGGTTTGGATGTCGTCGGCTCCCTCCTTTTGTCATCTCGATCTTCATGCAAACTCACACTCTCCCAAACGCATCTCTGTTGCAAAAAAAACTTGCGGAAACTCTATAGGTTCATCTGTGACACCTTCCATGGCTGGCGAAATCTGGAAAACCTGCTATGGATGTCAAATTTCATTCAAGTACAGGACAGCTGTATCACGGACTGGGTGTGGATGTTTCGTTCACTTCTCCTCTCAAAGTTGATCATCTTGTTGTGGAGTCTTCGGATGATGTTTTGTTCGGGATAAAACGGGGACGATTCTGGGAGAGCACTGAGTTTCAGAGTTTCAACTAGAGCCAACCTCATCGTATTGCGACCTCGGTGTTGTGAGACCGAGAGCATAACCATGTATCAAAAAAACCACAGGTTGCGCGTTATTCCATATCCAATTTTCTTCGGCCATGCCCTCTTCCAATGCGTCATCGAGTTGAAACTGCTACAAGACATCTGCAGGTCGTATCTCAAAAATCTATGTGGCTGATGTGATTTTCCTGTGATCCTGATGACGCTGATGATGCTGGTGATGTTGGAAACGATGGTGATGGTGATGATGTAGATGATGTAGATGGCATGTGACTTTTAAGGACCTTGATCTTAAATCCAACAAATCAACGATGGTTTCCCAGTTGATGTCCATCAAAACATATCATCATTCCCTGTTTCTGAGATATCCCGAGCCCGGAGTGTTGGACTGGGTTGCCCCACTCTCCTGGAGCCAACAAACGGTAGGAGCCTTGGTCGCCATAGCCGTTGCTTCGGTTCTTGATGGCGCATTGCCGCAATGACAAGATATGACAAGCTATATGGACGACATGAAAAGCCACCCCGATTTCCTAACCTCCAGCTGCCAGCTTCTTCAAAGACAAGATCAACATCAACAAACGTCAAAAGCTTCTGGTTTCTTCTTGAAGTCTTTCCATGTTTGTTGGCCATTGTGTGTCACGTTGTGCAGCTTCTGAGGTGGCAACAAATATCATGTCCAGTACCCAAGGCTTGTTGCTCCTGTAGGTACCGCAACTGCAGTTCTGGATGGTAGCGAAGGGCCTAGCAGATCCAGTGACACCGTTTACATCCGTTTACCCGGTAGCAATAGGACAGATGCTGATTGCACTACCTCAATCAGATGCTGATTGCCTGACAAATAAGAGGCTTTGCCCATGAATACCTCTACCATGAATATGAGTTTTGTGGAATAAGCTTTGTTTTTGCTGCATCAAACTTTCTCCGGAGTGGAGCATCTTCGCTCAACTAAAGGGTTAAACAACTTGTGCCAAACTCTTGCGGGCTAATTCGGCTAATACTTCACAGGTGAAGTTAGGTGATAACGCAACAAGTGCAATTAGAATCACATGATGAATCACAAGTGATTTGCGCCAATTATTGATTCAATCAGCTGGCGCAAATTATGACTGGTCAAGACCCGCGGCGCCTCCAGAAAAATCTCTTCTCTGAGTGCCTCGGTGAGTCTCTAAAATGTCGGAGGTGGAGATTAGAAAGGAAAAACGTGAAAAAACACACGAATTCAAGTCATATATTTCCAGAATTTCTGTGACATAAAAACAGTTGGGGAAATTTCAAGCCAAGCTATCCATCATGTAATCTGAGGCCAAATCATCCGTTAAAAAAGATATGGGCGTACTAGTCCAGAATTCATACTTGTAGTCCCCATCCCAACAAAACTTGGGAAATCACAGTGATGGCACCAAATTGGGATCGTTAAGTCAGTAGGTGCTTTGGAGCGTGAATGCAGAAAAGGACAAGCCACATTATCCTTTGTGAAGGAATTTTTCGATGCTTCAACCACAACAATCCCCATGTCACGAATGTCCATGTGCCAATCCCTTCTATAGTGCTTTGCAAATTCCATGACTCTGGTTCTACCAGACCTCAGGATGGTGATTGATAGTCCAGTGAAGTGTAGATCCCTGTAATTCACCAGTATGACTACCTGTATCAAATGTAATCAGAAAATCTGTAAATCCACAACCAAGAAATCTTCCACCGCATGGGTTTATCCACGGCACCGCCAGGTCGATTTTGCGACGTTCAAACTCGAAGTCGCTTAGGTCGATCATTGGGCACGATGGCTCGTCCTGGGGCAAGGATCGAGTGCAGTTCGTTCGCGTGGATCGCTTCGGTCTTCCCATATCTGGACCATGGAATTCTGTTTCGCAAATGTCCAAAAACATGTGATCTTTGTTGTTTCCGTGTTTGAAATGGAGGGAAAAACATATATGAGTTGGTGAAATCATCGTATCTGACAAATACTTAGCCATATAATGCCATATACCATCACTTCCGTGCATCATCGGATCCATCATATCAGAGATTATCATCTCCAGTGTTTCCCGATTTTTCCCTGCAAAGGAGATGTCCTCAGGGCAGTGCAGCTGCTCCAAGTAGGGCAATTCGAGTGCCTGCTCCACTGTGAAACGCCTCTCTGGGTCGAACTGGAGCCTTGGAAGCGATCGGAAGCGATCGGAAGCGATCGGAAACGATGGGAAACGATGGAGGTGGCTTAGTGGGTGGATGTTGTTCAACTTTATATTGCTGGATGGGCCACTGTGTCCATGATTGGTGGATATGAGTGGGGCATTGCTGTGTGGTGTATTGTGCTGGTTTATTGTGCATTATTCCGGATTTACGGTGTGTGTGTGTGTGTTGGTTGGTTGGTTGGTGTGTGTGTGTGTGTGTTGGTTGGTTGGTGTGTGTGTGTGTGTTGGTGTTGTGTGTGTGTTGTGTGTGTTGTGTGTGTTGTGTGTGTTGTGTGTGTTGGTGTGTGTTGGTGTGTGTTGGTGTTGTGTGTGTGTTGGTGTTGGTGTTGTGTGTGCGTGTTGGTGTTGTGTGTGTGTGTTGGTGTTGGTGTTGGTGTTGGTGTTGTGTGTGTGTGTGTGTTGGTGTTGGTGTGTGTGTGTGTGTGTGTTGGTGTTGTTGTGTGTGTGTTGGTGTTGGTGTTGGTGTTGGTGTTGGTGTT